AGAAAAGACTGATTCGAAGTCAGCGTTTTATGCTGCATCTAATGATATACAGCTTGTTTAGTTTGGCCACTTCGACTTCTGACCATTCCCTTGTTAGTGTACTTCTGCTCGGGATGAAACTGATCAAATAGAGTCAGTCTTCTGCAGTGGGCTTTCAGGATGGACTCAGAAACTATGTGAAGGACCCACTACCTCTTTTGGAGAGGTACCGCCTTCATTAGCGTCCAGCAGAGAGGGTAAAATCGGGAAAATCGCCTGGCTTCTATAATAACTAGTGAACCAGTTATTAGATTGCTAGATTATTTGATGGTTTTTGAATGCAGCTTACGACACTTTATATATTAGATTAGATATTGTGGTGGATCCCCTACCTAAGCGATAACTGAAGGAGCGGAAAATTTTTTCACAAAACTTGAATTTGCTCCGAAAGCGTCCCAGACCCAAATGTCCGGACGCCGCATGCTCATCTTCAAAATGAGCTCAACGCATATCGCACAGTTTGTAGCCATTGGTTTCCACAGCGACTCTGCATCTTGATCGTGTCGGGCTTGTGTACTCACGTTAAAGGCATTGTCTCACCAAAGTTGAGCTCGCGCGGATCTTCACAATATTCTATTGTAGGGACCACTGAAAAGGCGATTGCAACAAGTCCCACTCAATTTGACCACCTCCACTTTGAGAAAAATCCGCTCCAAGTGGTACGCGGAGAGCGATTTGTTACGCGCGGACGACTCCTTCGGTCTCTCCCCCCCCCCCCCCCCCGTTAACGCTTGAACATGTCCCACCACTTGGCATCCACCTCCCTTCTGTTGCTGCCACTGTGGCTGAGCCTGAAATTGAAAGGTACAACTCGTCTACGTGGCTTCCGCGAGGCCTCCAGAAAACGGAGTTTTTGGGAACTTCGTGCGATTTTAAGCCCTTGCAGTGCTAGACAGGGTCCGACAGGCTTACAAAATGCAAAAGTCTCGGCAACTAAATCTTGGTGAGATAATGCCTTCAATATTCATATTATTATATAACGTCCATATTGAAATGATAGCTCCTGGAAAAGGCCTTTTCGTCATTTTTTGCTCTCTCCGAATTAGGAAAAAGGAAAAGTAGTGAGACTTATATTTTTTAGCTGTCCATTTAATTGAAGGATGTTGAGATTCTGATGCTGTACAGCTTGGCCTCTAGCTAAATATCCTTCCAGTTCCCGTTGCAAAAGGTGTCAAGCGCGAAAATGGTGCCGCTATGACCCGGAGGCGCCGCTGTGACACCCGGCCGGACCAAAGTCTGTCTCCCCGTCCCCTCTCCCTCTCCATCTAGGCAAACCAGTCCTCTAATTTCCGCAGACGGTGAATGGACAGGAAAAGTTTGGTATGGACGACATCGCGTGTGTAGTGTCTAGAGTTCTAAGCCAGATACATGAATAAGTGCATTTTTTTCCTGAGGTGTTGGAATGCCTTCGGAACATCCTTCTGTTTTTAAAGTTATGTGTGGAACCTAATTTGCAAGAACCCTGAAAAAAAACGAAAAGAAGGAAAAATCGAAAATGCGTTATAATTGAATTTTCCTTGTTTACGCATTGTTTTTACAAAACCCCTTGGACTTCTCCACACATCAAAATGATTATAAATTGCTTCTTCTGACAAGTTTTACTTTCGGAGACGGATAGTCAGACGATAATGTTCTTTTTATGGACTAGCATCGTCTCTTTGCCCTGCTTATAGCACATTAACATTACGAAAACACATGTTTCCAGTTATTTATGAAAGTAAAACATTCTACAAACCGTATGCCCCAGTCAAGCATTGTATTAACCTGAAAGTAGGCAATGTATTGCTAACCTTAGACAATCGTGCAGGAGTTGTCGAACATTTTAAGAAGGCTGAATCTTTACATCGTGCTGCTCATAGGCACCGTCCACTCAAAATTTCGACCTCCATGTTTTTGCCGTCCAGGGCATTCTCGTACCCTCATTCCGAACATCAAGTCGGAAATCCGGAAAACCACGAAAAACCCTCGTTTTCAAAACCCGCAGAGCGATTTCTTCGGAACGGTGATTGGTTGGGAGCACGGATGAGCGGGACGGGCCCCCGCTTTTCCTCGCAGGTGTACTTGGCACCTCCAGAAGTCCCTTGAAGGACATCACGCTTCTCGGGGCCAGAAGGCGGCTCCGCCCATCACTGCTCCCTCTAGGTGCCCTCATTCTGAATTGTGTACACGCACAGTATGATGTGTATTGTTTTTAAAGGTATTAGCACTAAAATCAAGAAACAAAAAATTTTCAGGTTAAGGGTTCAGGATCCGTAAATGACTGCAGCTGCTGAATTTCATTTCGAGTTATACGTTCCACTCGCGTTTTCTCAAGCCACGATATGACGCTTCGCCATAATTTTGTAAGTGCTCGCGCATGAGCAGGTTTGGGAAGCATAGTAAGGGCCAAAGGATTCTGCGTGTTCGTCTTCAATATCCTCTGCGGGCATGCGCCGAACGCACATTACTTCATAGGCGAAGAGGCATTTATATGCATGCGAGCTTTTACAATGACTTTGTGGAGCATATCGTATTGAAAATCAAGCAGAAGTTATGCATATCGTATTGAAAATCAAGCAGAAGTTATGAGTCTTCCCATTATAGTATATAAAAGAGAATTTTAATCAATTACGCGCAAGTTTTAAAGTTCATCCAAGTTACGGCAAACTAAAGTATCTTGCAAATTTAGTGTCGTATTTGGAACTCTTAGCCAATTTTCAATCAAACATGCGACTAAAGTTCGTATTCTAGTATCTACACCAATTGTAGGAAATACTATACATAAAATTTGGTTTTTGATAATTAAGATCTTATTGATCATTGGAGTGGTTGGAATGAAAAACACATTGAAATACTATGTGATGGCAGACGAAAGAATGAAAGTATCGTCGTCTCCCCGCGGTAGATGGGGCGTGTCGTCTGCAAAGTCCGTAGATGTGCGTGTTTCGTACGGTGTTAGCCGGCGTGGCTTTGCCAACGTTTGCCAACGTATGCGCGTGGCAGTTTTTGGCAGTTAGAGACTAAGAAAACTAATGTTATATGATGGAGATTTAACAAGTATTTAGACGTGGCATGTATATACATGCCACGCCATGGCTAATACCGTACGAAATACGCACGTCTACGGACTTTGCAGACGACACGCCCCATCTATCGCGGGGAGACGACGATATTTATGACCAATTATCCTAACTACTGGAAAAAGCGTTGAGTTGCTTATTCAAAACCTTTGATACATCTGAGAAGAAAGGAAGAGAGAAGAGAAGAGAAGGTAATGATGTTCTACACTACTTCTGGTCACTCAGTTATTCAACTCCTGTTGCCAAATTACTTCAAATGACCCGAAATTTACAAGCGATCAACCAGATTTTCTGATCTGATATTTCGAATGACCGAGTTTTCTGTACAGAAAAATCTGTGCAATTTACTTCTTCTGCGAATAATGTTGAAGTGCTCATTTTTAAAAGGATGGCGCATCAGAAGTTTCCAAGCCTTCTCACTTGAGTAATGATAGCTATGTTTTCGTTTTTGTTTCTATCTTATTACCTTAATACCAAGTCTGTGCTCTCGCTGCTTGCACACCCCACAATGAGACCAAGTAGATGGGTGGAGCAGTGAGCGTGGCCTGGGGCGCTATTTATCAATCTCCCACTCGCTGTGCGGGCCATTGTTAATGAGAGCCTGCACGGGCGAGAGCGCCCTTCCCGCGATTTATGTAAGTCTGGGAAGCGCGGCCCAAACGGGCAGCACCGCCCAACTCGTCGAGATGGGGAACTGCAGCCCGACTGCCGTGCCCGACATGGCCAAACTTGCTAGATCGGACCATATTCTTCAATAGGCAGGAGCCCGGTCACCGCTTGGCTTCACATATCACGGGTGCCAGTGCCCGCGACTGTACGGGCTATTACCTGTAGGGGAACCCCTTTCTGTACAGAAGATTGATAAATACCGCCCCTGACCTCTGAAACGAGGAGGTGCTAGAACCCTCCTGGGTGCGAATGTTGGTGCGAACTTGGTGCGAGAAAAGGTGCTAGAAACTCCTGAACGCCCTCCTTCGTTTGAAGTTAGCTTAGCATTTCGAAAAGAAGGGAGAAGGCGGGAATGGTGCAAACTCACAAGGGAATGGTCAGAAGTCGAAGTGGCCAATCCATACAAGCTGCATACCAATCGATGCAGCATAGAATGCTGATTTCAAATGTGTCTTCCGTATCTGCAGAGCGCCTTTGTGGGCGAAGTTATGAGCAGCTTTACTGCGAAAAAATCGTCTACAAAAACTGCGAAATTAGGCAGATCACTGCTCTTTTAGCTCATCTTTAGGTACGAGCCATATGAACTGACCTAGTTACACGTTTTGGTCCAACACTGAGCCGAGAATGGCTTTGTATGGCCAAGTTTGACCTTTACACGCACAATTTCTTAGCAAAATGATGACATTCAACGGCTTATAACTTCGCCTACAAAAGCGCTCTGCAGATAAGGAAGACAGATCTGAAATCAGCATTCTATGCTGCATCGAATGGTATGCAGCTTGCTTGAATTGGCCACTTCGATTTCTGACCATTCCCTTGTCAAAGACAAGCAGTTGTTTTCAGTTGTAGATAAATGTTACAAAGTTTGTCAAAATCGAATCGAGTTCTCTTTTTGGGGTGTAGATTACAAGTTGAGAAAGGAGTTGAAAGATTCCAAGAAGAAACTTTTGCAGGACGTGACCAAAAAATTCAGCAGCTGTTATCAATTCTCATAATTTTTATTATGTCGTTTCCTACTCTATAAGAAAAACTGCGATCGTCGCTGGTCATTGTAACAAGTAGAAAATAAAACTGCCACTGTATGCTCTTATTTTGAGAGCTAATCCCGCGTCTTTGGCTTTTATTGGTAGTGATAAACAACTCATCAATTCATTTGGTTATAATAGATCCCTTGGTTTCTTCAAAAAATTCCGGTTCAGGGCGACACACACAATTACATAAAAACTTTCATACCACTGCATTTCTCCCGCAAACTGCATCAACTTCATCGCCAGCCTTCATTCCAGCCTTATCTGATAACGAATCCCTGTCGACCTAAATAAAACTATGGTCATAGGGTTTACACTGTAGCTAAATATTGACAATACAAAAAGCAAAAAAGTTTAAAAAAAAGATTGACTGACCGTTGCTACTATGATTCGATTACCCTGTTGTCGTAATGTGTATCCCCATGGTATGTTCGTATCACTACGGTTCATCCGCACCGTTATGGTCTCGTACGACATTCTGAAAATATTTTGTGAAAAATTGTAATGGTTCAACTCAAAGTTACACATTCGGACGATCGTATACGATCAAGGAAAACATATGGAAGCAATAACATAGAAACCATAATGATCATTGTAAAGCCGTTGCAGATGACGTACCCATAGGATAGAGCGGATCCGAGGGAAAGTGTGTGTGGCTCAAGTTCTTGGGATACACTGAAAAGTTAAGAAACCCATCAGTTGAGAAAAGCCAGAACAGAACCTCATAAATTTTTTTTATGCAAAGGTCACTGGTGACGCAGTACGGTTATTGATTTTTTGTTGATTTTTCTAAATTTCAAACGTGCTCGAAAAGAAAAAGAATTTTGGCTTCCATGAATTTTTTGCGTTCTTTCTAAGCAGCTCCAGGCTTTTTTCACTTCTTTTAAATTTGCGTAAAAAGGGAGCAATTGTTATTGAGAGTGCACCTTTGTTCGAGAAGCTTTGTCTTCTTCTTTTCGACAAAAAACGTGCGAAATTATTTAAAAGTACATATATGCACGAAATGACTATATGTCGAGAAATGAAATGGATCTCAATCTTATATATAAAGCTGAATGTCTGTTTGTCTGTCTGTATGTATGTCTGTCTGTCTGTCTGTACGTATGTTCCGAATAGAAAATTCCATTTCTGAACCGATCGGGACCAAACTTAGCACACATACACTTCGGGCCCCGGCGGGTGTCATAGGCTACTTTTCGTCATCGATCGATATCGATTTTATCGATTTTGCAAAATTTGAGCAACGGGGCTGAGAGTTGGCACAGGGGCGTAATCGAGCATGCTGATCACCCCCGTGGGGGTGATCAGCATGCTCGATTACACCCCTCTGCCAAATGCCAAATTCCAGCCCCCTAGCTCAAATTTTGCAAAAAATCGATAAAATCGATATCGTTTGATGACGAAAAGTAGCCTATGACACCCGCCGGGGCCCAAAGTGTATGTGTGCTAAGTTTGGTCCCGATCGGTTCAGAAATGGAATTTTCTATTCGGAACATATGGCGGAGGGGTAAGCCAGCTAGTGTAGCTATAATCTATAGATGAAAATGAGATGAAATGAAAAGATAACACTCATTTCTGAAAATTGTTCAATATTCTAGGAAGCGGAAGCAACCTATGACATTCCCTTCCCCTGATGTTTGTAAAACAATTGTTTATTACCTCATCAACTTTGTCTTTCGTACTTTGGAAATAACCAGAAGCGGGCAATCAATAATTGATTTTTTGTGCTTCCTCCCGTGTTTATATGGACTATTCGCTTGCAAGCTGATACCAACGATTAATGTACGTGATTTCTAAAAAGTTTCTAAATCTGCTTCCGATTCTCTCTAACGGCGGATCGGTTCAGCAGTTTTCTTTTTTTGCTTGGAAAGAAAAGCAGTGCACAATGCTGCGCGCGCTGTAACAGCCGCTTTTTAGTCGTCAGCTGATTGCGCCCTCAAGCTGCAGTTTCGGCTTATCCCAATTGATCAGGGTACCTAAAAATATTTGGTTATTTGAAGCTGAGAAGAATGGAGACTGCAAGTAGGGAAGGAGGAGTACCTAAATCAAAGCAGGACGCACCAAGAATTGCGTGATTTTGCTGAATAGCTTGCCATATATAGGCGAGTCATCGCACGCACAGACTGGGCGCCGCTGCGTCCGATTAAGATAGTTCGTGCATGGCAGGCAGCAGACGACAAGAGGGATGAAAGAGCGCTTGATTAATGAGACGTCGACAGCATCCGCAATGAACTTTGCCTTCGCGTGCGATAAATTGTATACCATAATGTTAGTCATCTAGCAAAAGTCATAGTTCAAAAGAAGTCGGTTCTGAAAAGCCCAATATTGACCATTTTCACTCATTGGTGCCCACTGTCCACCAAGAGCGGTATTCACCAATGTCCTCACCCTTTAATCGAGTGCTGCTTACCTATGTATCGTTTATTCGTTGACCGTAACGACTGCTGACCGCGTGGCGACCGCTGCGCGTGCATGATGTTTTCGTAAGAAAGATGAATAGAAAGAAAACAGAGGATTCTTCTCATCTTCATAATGTAGAAAAGAAACAAAGAATTCTTCTCATCTTAAGCCACGGTCCAACTTGTCACTTTTTCGCAAGTTTAGAAGGCACGCGTCGCAGTCGCCACGCGGTCGGCAGTCCGTAAACGAATGAACGATATATAAATAGGCGCCCGATTGTGAAACGCTTGATTCTTGCTACAGTACAGCCCGCAATCAAGGTAATGACAAATACTTACCACTAAATACAAATTCTCTCCACTAGTGAAGTATCATGTTGTGAACGTATTGAACAACAAGGGACACTGTGAAAAAAATCCCTTGATTGTAAAAATAAATTTCTTAGTACATACTGTTTATTTTTTGTTTTAAGAAATTTTCAAAACTGCGCAGCCAATCAATAAAAACTTAACTTTCTCTTGCAAATAGCACCAAATTATCAAGCACCTTTTACAATCATCACGACTATTCTTATTTCTGTATAAGCTGCGTCTTAATTTGCTTCGAATGTAAGCACGCCAACGTCCGCGTGGGACCTTTATATAGTAGCAGAGAGTGCGAAGGAGATTCGCTACGCGAGGCACATGCGCAGTTATACGCCCCGGCTCGTTCGTTAACCTACTGAAATCGCTCTAATTTTTGATTTTTGTTGCTTCTGATTATATCAACATAGAAAATTTTTTTGATTCTATGAAAAATGAATTCAGGAAGAATTATTGTAGTAAAACGAGAGAAAGCTTAGTTTGGTGACTATCAATCTGCTTGACATGTTCTTTTATTTTGTCTTGTCAAGCATTCGGGTTGTCCATTAACCTACACTGATATGGAGAAAAAATCACAATGAGAAGAAATGATTGATAATTGTGGATAATTACAGTTAGTCGAAACACGAAGTGCACATTCAGTGGAGAGAATTTGTTCAAAAATGGCTTTTTTTACACGACAACAGTATTTGGAGAGCTGTGCTGAGATATTTTCTGTCAAAGCGAAGCTGGCCGACGAACGAATCGCGGATACAAAAGACATATGGGCTTTACGTAGCGCTTCGGTCGGCATATTTCTCTGTGTAAACTCAGCCAGCCTTCACCTGAGTTAAGAGCTTATGGGTTCGCAGGAGGTTTATGCCAGGTTTTGTAAATAATTAAATGCATAATCACTTGTCATGTGTTTTGAAACAAAGAAAAAAGTAATCGCTTTGGAAGAAAAGAAAAAAAATTGAGGGTGTTCATGAGCAGAACGAACTCCGTTTGCGATGTTCGTCCGCCTGTCAGCCTACAGCATCATTCATCAAACATTTTTACACCAACAGATGCTTCCACGCTGGAATAGAATCCTCCTGCACATGGCTTGGAATAGAATGCAGTCAAGGGGCTGAACGGTGATTATGTAAAAATAACAATATGATGTTACATTGAAGAAGGTTGCTAAATGAAACTGAGTTCGATAGAAACCATTTTAAAAATAAGCTTTGATTTTTTATTTATCTGGATTGCTGTCGCATTCAGTCAGTGCCTCTTGAAGAAAGCTGACCACCGCTAGAAAGGGTAGCTCATCCGCTTTCTGATGACATCCTGACTTCTTTTTTCTATGCTCTGGTCGCGGAGATAAAAATCGAAAAAGGAAATCACTTGAGGTTCGGAATTTTGAAGCAAGCCCGTTAAAAACCCCAAAACTGTGCAGAAAATCCAAAACAGCATTGCCATAAGTTTTCTGACCTCCTCTTTCCATCCTGATCGAGCTCTTCTTTGAAAAGTTGTCTTTTTTTGCGGAAAAATACCAAAAATTCATTTTTTTATGAAAACTGATTTTTTGGCACGTTTTTCAAAAATCATAACTTTTTGAAGAGGAGCTCGATTAGCACAAACTTTGCTCACATAGAAGGCGAAAATATGAAAACCTGTGGCAATGGCTGTTTTGAATTTTAGTGCACAGTTTCTGAATTTTTAACGGGCTTGCCTCAAATCGCCGAACCTCAAAAAATTTTGATTTTCCATTTTTCTGCGATGAAGGCTTACTGGAGAGCATTAAGACAAACAACACTAGAATGTGTATGCTTTAGAACTTGAACATGTCTTTGCATCGATATATTTTCCCGCGATTACGGGTATTGTGTAAAGGCTATTTCCATGTGGACAATTCTGTGATCCGATAAATCTTGAAAACCGATTGCTTTCGAAAGCTTTTTCGTAACCGAGATAATGGCCGCTATGGTTGCTACAATTCCGTAGCCAGGCTGTCTCGCCTTTTTTTGAAAAGCGAAGAAGAGGAGGGAGCAATAAAATAAAGATAAGATAAGAATAAGGTCCCAACATAACAATGTCATTTGTAAGGGTACAGTCTTAAATTTAAGTGTGATTAAGGTATATGTACAACAGAGTTACATATAAAATGTCATTCGCATAAAAGACAGTCTTGACATCTTGTTAAAATCTATTGTCATAGTAGCCTTCGACATATTGTTTGTTTGAATATTAAGCTACGTCGTACACTGCAATGTTGTATAACTAGCGCGAAAACACTTTGTAACTTGGCTGAAAGCCAAACCTTAAAGGCAGTGTCTCGCCAAAGTTGAGGTCGCGGGGATCTTTACATATTCTATTATAGGGACCTCTAGATAGGCCATTACAACAAGTCCCACTCAATTTGACCCCCTCTACGCTGAGAAAAATTCGCTCAAAGTGGTACGCGGAGAGCCAGTTGGTACGCGCGGACGACTCCTTCGGTCTCCCACCTTACGCGTTTGAACGTGTCCCTCCACTTGGCATCCACCTTCCCTCTGTTGCTGCCACTGTGGCTAAGGCTAAAGTTGGAAGGTACAACTCGTCCACATTGCTTCCGCGGGGCCTCCAGAAAACGGGGTTTTTGGGAACTTCGTGCGATTTTAAGCCCATACAATGCTAGACAGGGTCCGACAGGCTTGCAAAATGCAAAAATTTCGGTAATTAAATTTTGGTGAGACACTGCCTTTAAGTGCAACATGGGCTAAGTACAGCTGTAAACCGTATTACTATCTCTGAGCTTTACAAGGATATGTTAGAATACATTTTCTAAAGAAAATCTAATAACTTGGTTAGACGAGGTTCAACGAATGCGTTGGTGGTTGATATAGTTGAGGTAAACGAAAAATGCACCGATCATGTTGAGAAAAACCTTAAATTTCTTTACTGGGTTAAATAAAATCAATTTTCAATCGCTAGGACTTCTTATGAGGAAATGGAAATTCTCTT